CACCTGTATACATCTGAAGAAAGTTCTGATAACCCAGAATCCATTCTACCATCCAAACTAATTGTCAGTCCTATCCAGTGGACCCTGGATGAAAGGGTCATCGCTGAGCCAGCTCTGCCGGATTGCCCACCACTGCTGTCAGACAAAACCTACATACCCATTTCACAATGGATTCGTTTCATCAAGTCAATCCACTCCTCTGTTGGCAAAGATCCAGGAAACCGAGAGCTTTCTTCACACCTTTTGCCAAAGCCACCAAACCTCTTGGCACTGGTTCCTAGCGTGGGCTGAGTATGCTCAAAATTTTCTTGGTAAATAAGAGACTAGATTAATACCATTCCAATGCATACTCGGTTACCAGCCACCTCTCTTTCCCTGGGATGACGAACCATCAAACGTCCCAGTGGTGAATCATTGGTTTCCGGGAAAGCGAGAGGGTCTGGGATGCTGCTCATCGCTTGCAGCAAGCATTGTAAGAGCCCCGCCGATGTACATAGATCTAGGATTTTAACTTGTGTGTAGACTTGTGCCGGTATTCGGTAATGCAATATATCACGGTAATGAATATGCACGATATTGTTATCGTGGGCACTTCTAAATACCGTGAATAATTATATATTACAAATTATTCAATAATTTTGAATGCATTTTAAGAATACTTCTCCCATCAACTGGTCAAAATGCACAACACGCTGTATGCTGCGTGAAAGACGCGCACTCTGATGTAAATAAGCGCTAATGAGAAGCACATGGCGGAACACGTGAGAGACGCTCTGGATGAAAGCGCACTTTCACTCTCTGACAGCAGATGGCGCTAAACTGCAGAAATAATAATAATAATAATAATAATAATAATTCATTTAAATGCAGCCGTTACCCTTAAACCATGTAAATAAAGCAGCTGCTCTACTTTCTGTTTCTGAAAGGTGTTTAAATGATTTAAACAGCCATTCAGATTTGTGTATTTGCTATGATGTTCATCACAGCGCCAAATACTTAAATATTTAGACTTAATAGGCTATTTATTTTCAAACTTTTTTTACATTTTAATCTGGACTACAACATGCCTTAGATATTGTTTGAAAGTCTTTTGATTATTTATTGTTCGGTCCCTCTTTACATTAGTTAACATTAG